AGCACACTTGCAATAAGAAATTGATGCAAGTGCTGTTGCAGGCTTCAGTAATTTCTTTACCATTTTGCTTGCCCTTTCAAGGTTTTTTCGAATGAGTTCGGGTATTGCTTTCTCATTTTCGGACATTCTTTTTTCCCTTCAATGAAGATGCACAACTAACAAACATATTTTATATGCACGTAGAATATTAATTATTTACAAATATTTTATATGGACATAGAATACAAATTATTTACAAATATAACTTATGCATAGGATATTATTCATAAATGTAACTCCTGCAGAACTTACATCTCTTCACTTTCTCTTTCAATCCTTTCAATTGTTTTTTCAAAGAGACCGATGGTTTAACTTTCAGTTTAAGCTCTTGTGGATTCTCTTTTCCTGGCCATCCCAATTTTTATGAAGTTCTATATTGGATTTGTAGGAGAAATTTCAACAGAAAAGAACTATTTTTATATTTTGAGCAATTTGAAATAATTTATTGATATTGAGGGTAGAAAAATATTATATTATAACGTAGGAGTGATTGGTTATGGGATGCTACGAAAGTGATAAGAAAAACTATGTAGAGTATGGATTTTTTTATCAAAAATAAATGGGTAGAAAAGTATGAAAGTTGGAGAAGAGGAAAATACAAAAAGAAAAATGTTAAAATAGAAACAAAAGGAGGGAAAGAAATTCATTTGATTTTCGTAGACTTGTGCTATATTTTCCTCCCTTTAATTTATCTTTCTTCTTGATTTTTAAACATGGAGAAAATTATGAAAATAATTTAACTCTATAACAAAAATGAAAAAGTAAAATACATATATACATGTAAAACTTACACATTACCCACATAGCTCAATTTTTATTGAGATTCATTTATTCATGGATATGCTTTTTTTTTAAAAAGCTTCACCTGTACAATTATAGAAAAATCAAAATTTGAGGAAAAAACACAATTAAGTGTTAATCTAATTCATTTGAATTAAAAAATAGTATTTCAAAAGTTTAAATTATAAAATATTTGTATTACTCTAAAAATATTTAAAAAATATTATCAAATCAATTAAGGTCTTTTATTATCGCGCGAAGCGCGATCAAATTCACTAGTTAGTATTTAATGATTGGTATAATAACTGTAGAAAAAATGTGGACAGGACGGGTAAATTAGAAACTATGAACATTTTTGGTAATAAGGTTTCATATATGGTATAGAAAAGAAAAAATCTCTTCTCGAGATTGGACCGATCACTTTCTTTTTGGGCCCAACTGAGCATGGTAAAAGAAGGAGACAACAAATTATACATTGATTATACATAATTATACATATATTTACATGAATTATGTATATATTCTAGGAATTTTTACCTCCTATAGCAAAGGTTAATATCTTATTTATTTTAAATAAATACCATTTAAAAAAATTATATTTTATAGATACCTTTTAAGGTTTATAGCAAAATATTTAATTTTGGTTACCTCCTAGCCCTAAGCCACTAAATACGCTATTCAGTTACACTATTTTCTTTCTCTCTCTACTTCGATACATCTCATTCTCTTCCCCAATCCCATTAAATTTCCGCTCTCCTCCTCCTTCTAACGGCATCTTCTCAACTGAAAAATCCAGCGACCAGCAGCACAGCAATAACAAACCCTAACCCGAAGACCCAATCATGCCGAAGCAAATCCACGAAATCGTTGGTGATTATCTCGCTGTATTCCGTTGCCGAAGACCCAATCTCATCAAGTTTACAATGCTTGACTTCATCACATATTTATCTTTCATTGATGCCTGGATTTCATTCCATGCGGATAACTGACAAGAAACCAATTAAGTTTCGATTTAATATTCTGTAAGTTCCGGTTCAAAATTAGCGTTCTGCAAGATCTTTGAAGATGGAAGGACTATTTGGCTACAAGGCGGAAATTAGGGTTTGTTCTTGAGCAAAGACGACGGAGTTTGGGGCTGAGCAACTTGATTTTCTGTTAATATATTTCAATGTATTTTCAACGTATCACGCTGTATTTTCATGTATTTCATTGTATTCATTGTCTTTTTTCCATTATAATTCAATGTATCTCGCTGTATTCCATGTATTTCATTGTATTTACTATCTTTTTTTTCATTATTTTTCAATGTATCCCGTTGTATTCTATGTATTTCATTGTATTCACTGTCTCGCTAAATGCCATGAATGTATTCATATATTTTTTTAATTAATATAATTTATGTATTCAGATGTATTATATAATTTCTCTGAAGATTGCTATGTTTTTGGGGTATTTTTCAGTTGAGAATTTTTTTTATTGAATCTGATGTGATTTAATGGTTTTAGCGTTGTTTGATGTATTTTGATGATTGGAACAAGTTTTAATGATGTTTTAGGATGGGTTAGCACTTTTGGTTGAGGTCCCGAGGGTCCTCGGGTGAGTTTCGGATTGTCTATCGGGGAGTTTGAGACTTGGTGAAGCAGCAGAAAAATGCAGCAACAGTTGCAGGTATTAAAGCTTCGCGATCGGGAGGGGGGGGGGTCACCCGCATTCGCGTANAGTTGAGAATCTTTTTTATAACCGGAAATACAAATTTTGTGTGTTATAATTGAGTTTGTTGAGTTATATTAGGAGTCTATTATGTTAATTGATACACTTTCCGTTTAAAAATAGTGTAATCCCCTGTTTCACGCCATGAATACAGTCGAATACAGTAATCTGTCCAGCTGTAATCCCATGTTTCACGCGATGAATACAGTCGAATACACTCGAATACAACAACTAATTAGCTGGACTTCCCTGATTCACGCCTATTTTTGCTACTGTATTCATGAATACAATAGCTTAAATACATCAAATACATCTTATAACCATAGCAAATGATATCTATAGATGGCTAATTACTACTAAAAGATAGTGCTTTATGAAAATTTCCCAAGCTATGTTCTGTTTATTAGTCATAAATTAATTTTATCAATTTCCTTTCACTGCTTTAAGTAAATTTTTACACATTTTGCACAAAAAAAAAAAGATAAGAAAAGTGGGGAAACAATAAAAATATTAGTATTGCAAAATAATAAAATAAAGAAATTTTTAATAGAGAATAACAAAATATCTTTTCCTTGTTTTTGTTATATTCATTTTTTTATTTTTGTCTTTTACTTTTGTTTTCTTCTTCATTGTTTAATGTGGGGATATAAATTTGGGAAGTAAGAGACATGGAAGGGTTATGCATCAAATGATTTGAAAACAGAAAATAAGATAGTTTGTTAAAACTTGTGATAGATTTGCGTTAATCATTGATTGAACCACCAATAAGCCTAACATAAAAACAGAAAAAGAAAATAACAAATGTAGCAAAGAAAATCCAAGGACCGATTCCATCATTTTCACTTCACCCTGTATGAATTACGAAATTGCCTACGGTCATGATTCATGAACCAACTATAGTACATTGTTCTTCAAGTTTGGGTGCATTATTTGTCTTTTCCAAGTTGGACAGTCAAAATTTCAGAAAATATTATGACTCAATTCATAAAAAATCAACATTGAAATAAAGAAGAATAAAAATATAAAGACTAAGAGGGAGGTGCCGGTGTGCATGTTATTTGCAAATAATATTATATTGATTGACGAGACACGAGACGGTGTGAACGCGCAATTAGAGATATGGAGGCAGACTCTGAATTCTAAAGGTTTCAAGTTGAGCAGGACCAAGACAGAATACATGGAGTGTAAGTTAAGTGGCGAGACTCAAGGAGGGGAAAGGGAGGTGAGGCTGGACTCGCAGGTGGAGAGGAAGTTTTAAGTACCTTGGGTCTATTATTCGAGGGGACGGGGAGATTGATAAAGATGTCACACATCGTATTGGGGCGGGATGGATGAAATGGAGACTCGCTTCCGGTATTTTGTGTGACAAGAAGGTGCCACCAAAACTTAAGGGTAAGTTCTACAGAGTGGTGGTCAGACCAACGATGTTGTATGGGGCTGAGTGTTGGCCAGTCAAGATCGCTCATGTCCAGAAGATGAAGGTAGCAGAGGTGAGGATGTTGAGATGGATGTGCGGTCACACCAGGTTAGTTAGGATCATAAATGAGGTTATTCGCGACAAGGTAGGTGTGGCTCCTATTGAGGACAAGATGCAGGTTGCACGGCTTAGGTGACTTTGTCATGTGAGGAGGAGGAGCACAGACGCCCCGGTGAAGAGGTGTGAGAAGTTGATATTGGAGGGCCCACGGAGAGGTAGAGGAAGGCCAAAAAAAGGTGGGGAGAGGTGATTAGGCAAGACATGGCGTAGCTTCAGCTGACCGAGGACATGACCCTTGATAGGAAGGTATGGAGGACGAGGATTAGAGTAGTAGAGTAGGTAATCTAGAGTGTTCATAACAGTAGTATTGGCACGCAGTCTTGCTTTCTGAGGGTAGTAGGTTTTATGACTAACCGTTATTTTCTTTCATTGTTGATCACATTACTGTCTTGTTGTTTTTATTCTGCTTTTATATGCCTTTTTGGTACTGGTCTTTCTTGTTTATATTTTCATTAATGTGGTGCTTATGCTTTCTTGAGCCGAGAGTCTATTGGAAACAACCTCACCAAACCCCACGGTGTGGGATAATAACATGAATCATTTCAAGCGCGCCACTTTAAACATACAGCCTACCCTTTAGTTGCATTAAGTTTACATCTTCAATCAACCAAATACGCGTCAATTCCAAATTAACTCAAGGTGGCAATATAAATCCACTAAATCACATTATATTTTTTTAAAATTCAGATTTAAGGGTTTTTTACGGTTCCAGTCCAACTTGCACACACCTAAATAATATAAGCTTTTAATATAACCCCAAGCATGTACCTCCCCTTGCACCTGTGCTGATTGTCCAAGCCAAGGATTTACTCTCAAAAAGTTAAAAGCTTGTTCAAGGAAGATTTCTTATGAGACAAGTTTAAAAGATGCTCAAGCATTCAGGTTTTGCATCAACGTTGGTTTGGTTTCATGCAGTGCATCTGAAGTCCAAACATAAAACTACCAATCAATCTAACATTCATGGTCAAGCACCTAAACGCTTTAATAAAGGTTGGTTCATGAAGCTACAATTTTGAAACAAAGCTTCTTAGCAACTGCTAAAACAAAATAAAGAAATACAACTATCACGTTCACTACACCAAGCTATAGTTCAAGGAAAATATTATCACAGGAAAGACAATTGAATCAAGGAAACTTATGGGTAACATGTTTGTTAGTCAGTGGCAACGATGCAGATAATGTTTGTCATAACGTTGTCATTCTTGCTATGTCGGTTCCAAGAGATGTCACAAGGTAACAAATGCATAGAGGCAGAGCTATCTGAACCAGCTGGGCACCTTCCCAGCCTCCAGAAAAAAATACAGGAGATCAGCATTTTGTTGAGTTTTCCTAAGTACTTGCTAAAACTAATGAAATTTCTTGGTTCCCCATAGCCTTAAGCATCTAAGAAGTTGCTCCAGTCATTCAAATTCTCATAAACTGTTAGCTCATTGATATGGAACGAACTGCAGCAATTGGTACATTCAGCTATAGTGAATCTCTGTACTTAATAACATCCATTGTGTTCAAGCTAAATCTCTGGCAGATATCAGATATGATCGGCTCACTTAGACTATTATTTGCTTCTGCAGATCGAATAAGCTTTTGAAGGTCTTCGGATGGCAGTAATACCTGTATACCAGCAAGTGCAAGACCGCAGTCAATATGCATTTCACAGGCATTTTTCAAAAGCAGCATAAACAAACGAACGACTCCAACCAATAACTACAAGATGATCCAGCCAGGTCATGCTTTACAAACATGGAAGCAAGTATACAATACAAGGATAAATGTTACAGAATAGAAGCAACTCAATAATTAGTAGAACTAGATGGAGGAGGGGGGAAGGGAACAGAGAGAGAGAGAGAGATGCCTAGATTGAACGTAAGATCAGGTTTTAGAAGCAAAAGTGTGCATCTCAAAAACTACTACTTTGATAATGCAGAAAATTGATGCATGCATCACCAAGATTCTTTATATCTAAAAAAGGTGTATGATGCAGATTCAAGTAACAATGGCATTACCACTATATCCTGCAATAGAGTGACTAAAGAAGAACTGCTAAGGAAGCAGAAAACAAAGGAACGCAATAAATTTTTGGTAATTGTCCTAGTTAAGTTCCAAAAAGACGGACAAATTAGAATATGATGTACACAGGATTAATGATGCATGTAGGACAGCAGAAAACAAAGAAGACAAAAGAAAATTTAATAATTTTTCCAGCTAAGTTCCAAAAAGATGGATAAATTAGAATATGTTGCACATAGCCATATTCCCAGTAACACATCGCACTCATTTCAAATTATTCTGCAGGGTATTAAGTGAAATTCTACCCATGGTGGACGACAGCTGTTCGCTCTCTGCGGGTCATCTTTTGTGTTTGTACTCTTGTCTGTTGTTCCTTCATCTGACTTCTGGTGATAGGAGCTGTCTGTAACTAATTGAAGAAGTTTTTCACTTCCCTGAAGATCCAAAAAACGTAAAGGTAATTAGCAACCTAAAAAGCAGGAGCTCTTCAGAAGAGAAGACAAATTATTGAAGCAACATAGTAAATACAAAAATCAATAACTAGAATGTCTGTAAGCACACATTAAACTTCAGGGGGCGCACATTGAACTTCAAGAACTAAATGACTTGAAAGAGTGGAAGGAAGGGGAGGAAGTGTACTGGACAGATACAAAAGAAAGCTGTGCAATGAAATGGAATCACATGATGGATAATTGTGATCCATATATGAGTATGCACGTGCATATATGTCTACTTTTGCCAAAGCAATCTACAAAGAGGAACTATTTACATCTATTCTGCTATGAAAGGTATGTGAGTATTCTCTACATTCTAATCAGTTCTAAACATTATTCACCTGAAGAGCTCTCCAGTGAGAGTATGTCCGAAATAAGACCCAAAAGAATGGTATATTAGGCAAGGGTAGCACCTGCATGACATGGAAATAATTGAGAAAAGCAAGAGAATTAGAACACTTCAAATCAAGACGATCACATCAAAAAGAGGTGCATAGTAAGAAAAAGCCTACATCTCGATATGATCAGAAAGAAAAAAAAAACTAAAGAAGCGACTTGACATTCCATAAATAGTGTATAAATACCATGAAAACTGATGTCAGTGGAAGCAATATAACTGATCCATACAAATACTTCTTGTGGATGATAGCCCCCCTGATAGTAAAATCATACATTAATATGAATATATATTGAAGGAAAGAGTATTTGAATTAAATTTGATTGACAACACCTGAAGTAAAATCCAGAAAGTAGGAAAGCATCATCGTTTTTTTTTGGCAAAGGAAAGCATCATCCTTAAAATAGCAAATACTCATTCAGGGTTCAGAAAGAGGAGAATTGACTGGGTGACTTGGTCAAGGTTAAAATGATTTTGTTCCATTGTCCCTTGGCATGACTTCAATCAGATACAAATCAATGGTATAGTCTTTTGAAAAAACATATAGTTACTTAAGATATTCATGCCAGTAACACAAGGAAGTTTCTTTTCTGTAAAATGAAATGCATCCTCAAGGATTAGTATCTCAAACAGTGAGGTAATCTTCAGGATCTATTTCAAGGTATTGAATCCAGAGTCAAAAAATAATAAAAACAGCTACACATTTGCAGGCAAGAGGATGAATTTGATGTTCACATCAGAATCTGAGAAGAATGGAAGTGTCAATGCTTTTGCCTGACCACCACGATTAAGTTCCCAAGTGTGATTTATGACCATTGAAAGCCCTTGCTTCATTTGGTCTAGTATAGATTATGAATGCAAAATACTCTAATCGTAGTTAGAATACGATCCTCCAAAGCAGAAAAAGCTTTTAAATACCAACCAATCATATTCAGGATTTGAGCCCTTTGGATCAGGAGATTCAAGCATCTGCTTTCCACAGTGAATAATATAATAGACAATTTGCAGTAGTGCAGAAACCACATAGAAAGAGAGGCGGCTTGCAGGAAAAGGTATGAGGTAATAGAAAAGGCTAAAAGAATTGCTTCTTGTGACCCTCATGCTATAGTAGCTGACTGTATTGCATACACAGGATGGGAAATTTGTTTTAGAAGAAACAGTAATGATTAGGAACTTGCCAGAGTATTCCAACTCTTGCAACTATTGGGAAATTTTCAAAGTTCACCCATCAACTCAGACTCTCTCCATTGGTATCGCAGAAGGATGGGCTATCACCATAAACTCTTGCTACAAATGGCTGGATCAATCTTCCGCCACAAGTACAAGACTAGAATGGCCTTGGAAACAAACCTGGAGTTCTAAAGCACCCCACAAAGTAAGCATGTTTCTGCTGGACACTTGCACACGAGGCTATTCTAGTACAACATAACCTCCAACAAAGAGGCATGAACTTTTGCAACAAGTGCTACATGTCTGAGAAGGTAGAAGAAGATGCAAATCACCACTTCCTTCACTGGTTGCTTCTCAGCATTTTTTGGTGTCACATGGGCAATGCCAAAATCTCTTCTCTACTGCTGGACATGGAAAGGAGCAGGAAAAGGCAGGAAGAAAATTTGGAAAACCCTATCAGTCAGCATTTGGTGGATCATTTGGAAAGAAAGGAATCTCAGATGTTTTGAAGGCAAAAGAGAGAACATCACAAGCTAAAGGTCAATGTCTTATCTCTCTTAGCCTTTTGGTGCAACATGGAAAATGTATATGGTGTAGATATCTTCTTAGATTCTCTCAGTTATCTCTCAGGCTAAAGTAGGTAGGAACTGAGTTTTTGAAGGTTCCTGGATATGGAAATTGAATTACTTGTAAGGATCCTAATGTAACCACTGCACAATCTTGGTGCTTCTTTTGTTTCTAAAATGCTCACTTATTAAAAAATTGCTTCTAGAAACATTAAGAAAAGAAAAAGGATCACAAAAAGAAGATCGGAGCTAAACTGTTAACTTTAGGAGTGGTGGGACAGAACAACGAAAGAAACATCTAGGAAGAATTCTCAAAGAATTGAAAAGGAAATAAAATGATGCGGAAGAATATTAGAATTCAAAGAAGGAAGATTATATTGAAGTATTATTACAAAGTTAGCGAACCATCATAACGAGGTTCAATTTGACTTCTTGAATTTTGTTAGAGCGGAAAGGAGTAGCATTAGTATTATTAAGTATAAAGTGTGTCAAACATTTGGGAAGGCCCAAAGAGGAAAGAGGATCAGATAAATTGGGATAGAGGGATTAAATTGTTTTTTTTATTTAGTAAAACTGTTTTCTTTTCTAAGTGCAAGATAAAAAACAGTCAATTTTGTGTTCAAGGATTGAGTCATGATCTTCCGGTACATTGCTAATTGGCTTGCACTCAAAATTGCCATAAATCATAACTGTAGAAATCAATGCTAAATCTTCTGTTATACAGGTAGAGGCCAGCCAAAACAAGAGTTCCAGAAACAAGAGATAAATGCCTTAGGTTTAGAACATATGATATCCCAAGTAAAAATAGAAGTTTCTTTATATTGGAGTAAGAGATATCATGAAAGAGGATGCAACATGGATTGAATAGCATAATTACAAGACCTTCTGATAAAGGGAAACTATGAAGGAGATAAATTTTAACAAACAACAAGTGACTCTGTGCAAAGAAGCATAAACACAGCAACTAAAGAAAGAAGCATTTTATACCCTACCTCGAGGCAATATGACGTAGCCTCCGTCGAACAAGCCGTCCATTTAAACTGTGCAGAATGAAAGACAACATTGGAGCAAACAGCTGGATAACATAGAAACTAAAGGTAGAGGTGCTCATGTAATGTGACTTTCCTCCTTTTTGTTTAAGCACACGTAATCCAAGAGATAAAAGATAAAACATGGTACATAAAATTGAAGAAATTCGAGCAATACTATGGATAAGAAATGTGAATGACATCGTGAATGTGGATATAAATTTAATCAACAATTCAAAGTGAAATCAGAGATATCGAAGCCAAACAAATTATCTCCAATTTTATTCAATAAAAGTACATAAAGCCATCTCTTTCTCCAAATAACTCCCATTCTATAAGGCCATGAAATGACATGATAACTTAGGGATAAGATAGTCTCTGGCCCGTATATTGATGGAATACTACTACTTTCATTCTCTCCTAGTCAACTCCGACCAATTAAACTTTTATATTTACTTGCTCGTGTCAAGCTAAGAAGAGTTACAGTTCTCTTAACAAATTTGAAAAGGAGGTTGAGTCTCCATATCACATTTGTTTAACTTTGAATTCAAGTACTGACACTGTCTTTTTATATACTCATTAATAAAAATAATAGGACCTACAATTATTCAGGTTTCTCTATGACTAAAAGGAACACTTGCATTACACAGAAAAAATCCTGCACCACACAAATCAAGCTCCAACTCTATAAATTCAAAAAAGAAAAAAGGAGAGAGAGGCACAGACCTTGAGGGATAGGTAATGTCCACACGCGTTACCTCCTTAGGAATGGATTTCAAAAAGATCTCCGAAGGCTTAACACGAGAGAGAAGCCGCAACCCTAGCCTAATATCACCAATTATCTAATTAGTTTCAGAATATTCCGTTATAGTGCAGTACTTCTTTCTGAAGAAAAGCTAGAAATTACCCGTGAAGTTTGTTCTTTAAACTTCCTTCCGGTGCTTTTTCCAAATTACTCCAAGCTCTATTCATCTAAATACAGTAACAAACATTGCAACCATTTCAACACCTCAACTTGAAATGTAATTTCAACCAAAATATAAATTTAACATTAAATAAAAAGAAGGTAGTAAAAGAACTAGGACCTTATTGGAGGCGAAATCAATGACGAGTTCGAGATTAGCTTTCGAGGAGTCATGAGTAGATTTGGAGATCTTTCTCCAGAGGTCTTTGAATGTAGAAGGAGTATTTGAAGACTGAGCTTCCGATTGTGATGACTCGATCGCTCGGCTGAAGCACCAGTTCCTGCCTCTGATTGGAAACACTACTAACCTAGCTTTCATGATCGATTCAATGCACGATTATCAACAAAATGAAGAATGAAGATTGTTCGATTGATTATATTGTAAACACAAACGTAAAACCAACGGAATACGCGAGTGACGGAAGAAGCTGATTCTGAGGAACAGTGCAGATTGATTTCAGGAAAACAAGGCGCAGCGTAGAGCAGAAAAAACTGGGGAAGTGTAACTGTCTTTTAAGAGAATTGAATACAAAAGAGAACCGAGCGCCGAAAGTGAAGCTGAATGAAGGAAGGTGCAGCTCGCGCACTCAAACAAGCCACCGTTCCGTACCAGTAACAAGGCTTTGTCTACGTGGCTAGACCTTAAGAATTTGGCGCCGCCCTCGTAGGACGTGTCTTTGAATTTCACCGGATTCACACCTCAGCCCTAAGTGGGCACTCTTCTAAGTCTTAACGTTGGGTTAGAATTAAAATACATACTTTAATACTCATTAATTTTGCACTAGAGGTTTTTGATCGAAAGCGTGTTTGGTTGGAATTTGAAGTTCTTAGGCTTGAATCCTTGATTAATTCGTATTTTCGGTGTTGTTTTAGATGGTTTAAGGATTGGTACAAGTTTGAATGATGTTATGGGATATGTCTGCAGGTTTGGTTGAGGTCCTGGGGGCCTCGGGTGTGTTCCGGGTGCTCAACGGAGCACTTTGGAGTTGGAAAATATTGCAGAAAATTGAACTCAGCTGTTGCAGACTTTTCCTCTTCGCGATCGCGGCCTCCCTCTCGCGTTCGCATAGTGTAATCTTGGAGGGAGGCCAGTTTCTTCATCGCGTTCGCATAAACTTCATCGCGTTTGCGTACCTATGCCAGTCAGTTCTTCGCGTTCGCGAACCCTTGCACGCGTTCGCGTAGAACAATTTCTGGACCTCAGCATTTTTCCTTAATCGCGATCGCGTTACAGGCCACGCGTTCGCGTAGCTTTAAAAATCCCAGGCCTTCGCGTTCGCATCCTACTCCTCGCGATCGCGAAGAGCATATCTGACATCTTCCATCTTTCTTCTCCGCGAACGCGATCTAATCTCCGCGTTCGCGATGCATTGAGTGTCTGGACAGTATTTAACATTTCAAAAACGAGGGTTAGCCATTTTTAACAAAACTCAAGCTAGAGAGCTCGGATTTGGGAGAAATTTCGAGGGATTTTCGAGAGCAATGATTGGGTAACGATTCTCTACTCTCTTATGCTTAATACCCACTAATCTAATCACGATTTCACCTTTAAATTTCGAATTTTGAATGAAAATTGGGTGAAAGTTCATAGACCAAACTATTGGGGTTTGAGGGGGCATTTGACCTCCGATTTGGGAGTTTTTTATATGGTTAGACTCGTGAGAGTACGAGGATTCTGAAAATGTAAAAATTATTCGATTTTGGGGCGTTTGCCTGGAGGGCATTTTGGTCATTTCACCTAATTTTACGCCGTAGCTTTGAATTTATTAGCAAAACCAGGTGTTTGCGATGTTATTTACAATATGTAATTGAATTGAATAGATTTGAGCCATTTGGAGTCGGATACTCGTGGCAAGAGCGTGATTTCTAGTTGATATTGAGCCGGTTCGAGGTAAGTGGCTTGTCTAACCTTGTGT